ATGGCCGTCATCATCATCATCATCATCACCATCATCACCATCATGGCCATCATCATCATCATCACCATCATCATCACCATCATCATTGTTATCATCATTATCATCATCATCATCACCATCAGCTTTTTCATCATTATTATCACCATCACCACCATCATCATTATCATCATCATCACCATCATCTTTATCATCATTATCATCATCATCATCACCATCATCTTTTTCAGCATTATTATCACCATCACCATCCTTTCATTATGACTATCATGGTGTTTACTGTGTGCTTCGGGCCTCCCTCCTTGCATGCTAACACATTGGTGTATCATACCAATGAAAGTAGAATATATTTAAGTACAAACTAGATTTTATTACATTTTCTATTAAAAACTCAGCCCGCCGTTCTGCTGCTGCTCATTGCAATACTGTAGCCAAACTGGAACCTGGATTGCTCAATTACAGTCTTCCTACTTTCTTTTCTGCCTCTTGATTATTGAATGCTGACGACTTCACTACTTTTCAACATGCGGTATTGTATTATCTCGTACTGGATGAATGATCCCAGCAGCAAACTGAGCTCGCAACATTTCCCAGAAGAGCTGATGACTTACACATTTCAGCACCTGCAGCAGCGGACAGCTCCACAATTTACGGCGCCAGGACGCAGGCGGCTGTGATTGGCTGTGAGTTGTAGGAGCACGAGGTCACCTGGTGGAAATATAAAACAGGTCCGATAGGAGTGACCGTGTTAGTACCTGCTGAGAAGTGAACATAAACACGTCCATCTATCTGTTTGGACGCAGAGAGAGAGGATCATGAGACTCGTGGCTTTGGTTGTGGTGTGCGGGCTGATAGTTGGTCAGGATGGAGGCAGAGTGCGAGCAGCTCTGCCGGGATTTGACTCTGCTCAGAGGAAACATGCAACAGGTGGGCAACCTAATCACATGACTTTTAACTGAAGATTTGATCATATTTTATTCTTTATAGAAAGAGTTCATTTCACTTGACTGGAGGGTAAGTAAGATACATTTACACAAGTACTTCAGTACAATTCTTCAAAAAAGTGACTCATGCTTGCCTTGAATATTTCCTGCAATTTCTACAACATGTCAGAGGGAAATATTTTACATTTAGTTGACAGCAGTAGTTATTTCGCATGATTTTACATACAAAACATAGATCAACCTATGAAAGGTAACTACACTAATCCAAGAGTAAAATGCTTCATTAATAATCAAATTAAACGATACATTTAAAAACAACAATAAAATAATAATTACAGTAATAAAGAAAAAGAGAATAAAGTGATAATTAATTTGACCAAAATCGTATTTCTATACTTTGTTGAATGCAGGACGTTTGCTTTTAATCTCTATTTTGGGTCCGTTAAGGAAACTAAAGTAAATCAATCTGTTTGAACTTAAATAGATGTGTGTATGTGTCCTCAGGATTAGTCCTCTCTGCGCTCACGAGAAGAACTACCGGAGAGTTTCTGGCGGAGGATGCCAACCCGTGTTTCTCCCTGAGAGAGAACGAGGAGCAGCGGCAGCTCCTGTGCAACGAACGCAGGAGTCAATTCAACTTCAACCCGTTCGGCCTCCGCTTTGGGAAGCGCTACACTTACAGAAGAGCCATTAAAAGAGGCAGGTCAAATACACGCTCAGCCCTCTCTCTTCGCCCCTCTGTCTTCTCGCGATGACTGGACGAGCCCACCCAAAACAGATGTGCGTCTTTCTCTGAGAACTTGTGTCCCATAGGTGAAGAGTCAACAGTCCATTCGTGTTTAAAAAAGCTCTTTTGCTTCAGATAAAAAATGATGTTTCTCTGAATAAAACTTTTTTACCTACATTGACTGTGAAATTATTTAAAGAATTGGTAAAAAAAAAAAACATCAAAATAAAATACATAAAAAAAGGGAAACATACACTGCAGCAGACACTGACATTTAGTAACATGTTTGCTCTGGAGTCAGTATTTAACCAATGCACCGTTATGATGAACAGGCAGACGTCACAATGACACTGCTGCTTTGTGACGTTTCTAAAAGCTCATTTGTAATGTTGCAGTGGCTCGATTCAACCAGAGGATGTCACTACAGACAACATACAGCAGCTAGAAACGCATCAATACAAATATAATGATCATTAGAAAACCAAAATACAAAACCTATAATGAACTGCAATTGAATATTAGTCAAGTAAAAAATAAATTGATAAATTCAGATATAAATAACAGCTACGTGTTCAGGGGACTCCACAATGATTAACACTACATAGATGAACGTAACCCTCATCTTACCAACATGTTTAACATGTAGATGAACTACTAAGAAACATCATTAAAACGTATTTCTTTCAAATTAGTTAAGTAATTAATGTCATCTAAAGAAAAAGATATTATTAGCATTATTTAAGAAAAAAAGTATGTTAACTTGCATATTTATTTTAATTGAAATAGACAGAGCACATGATAAATAGTGTGTGTTCCTATCCGCTGACAGTGTGTGATACATCTGATTCATCTATTCTATTGTATCTGTTTGAACTGCAGGCTGCAGTCGGGTGCTTTAGACTGGGGACCCCCAGGACCCCAAGACATTAGTCATTCAAACAGAAACAGACTACAATGATAGAAGGCATTAGGAACTAATTACATGGTCAGTTATTGTCATTGTAAAACAGGGTTGGCAAAGAAATGCAGTTTGTACTCTAATTCTGCTACATAAGGAAAACACAGATAATAAAACAATATTATATATTATGAGCCTGAGGAAAGCAGCTGCTCTGAAGTCTGGTGGTTCAGCAGCTTCTGTATCTCTCTCCAGACCGCAGGTGAACAGGGTGTGGCTGGTGGCTTTTGTCTTTTAATATCTTTTGAGCTCTTCACATGCTCCTCTTGTCATGAAAAATTGGAATGATTGAATAAAGCACCTGTGAAATATGAGAAATAGTATACCTCTGGCCTGCAGTCCCAGCTGGTAGTTTTGCTTAAATTCTATAAAATATTGAATGTATTGGGCTAAGAAGTAGAAAATCATGGTGTATACGTACAATTCACCCAGTAACAGCATTATATTCACAATAAAACATGAAGAGGTAATGTTACATTATTTAAGCTTAGTTATGTCTGCTATTGTTTATTACTTAAAAGGAGAACACTTTGCATGTCATAAATACATTTATAATATTGGCTAACTTAAATGTGTTGTGTTGGTTGTATTTATTCCACTCTTCACGTATGAACAGGGCTCAGCTGTAGTCACATGACCTCTCTACTTATAAAC